TGAAAAGAAGAAGAAGAAGAAGAAGAAGAAGATGATGATGATGAGATGATGATGATGATGAAGAAGAAGAAGATGAAGAAGATGAAGAAGATGAAGAAGATGAAGAAGATGAAGAAGATGAAGAAGAAGAAGAAGATGAAGAAGATAAAGAAGAAGAAGAAGAGGATGAGGATGAAGAAGAAGATGAAGAAGAAGATGAAGAAGAAGAAGATGATGAAGCAGATGATGAAGAAGAAGATGATGATGAAGAAGAAGAAGAAGATGATGATGAAGAAGAAGAAGAAGATGAAGATGAAGAAGAAGAAGAAGATGAGGATGAAGAAGAAGAAGATGAGGATGAAGAAGAAGAAGATGAGGATGAAGAAGATGATGAGGATGAAGAAGAAGAAGAAGAAGAAGATGATGAAGAAGAAGAAGAAGAAGAAGAAGATGAGGATGAGGAAGAAGAAGAAGATGAGGATGAGGAAGAAGAAGAAGATGAGGATGAAGAAGAAGAAGATGATGAGGATGAAGAAGAAGAAGAAGATGAGGATGATGAAGAAGAAGAAGATGAGGATGATGAAGAAGAAGAAGATGAGGATGATGAAGAAGAAGATGAGGATGATGATGAAGAAGAAGAAGAAGATGAGGATGAAGAAGAAGAAGATGAAGAAGAAGAAGATGAGGATGATGAAGAAGATGAGGATGAAGAAGAAGAAGATGATGAGGATGAGGATGAAGAAGAAGAAGAAGAAGAAGAAGAGGATGATGAAGAAGAAGAAGAAGAAGAGGATGAAGAAGAAGAAGAAGAAGAGGATGATGAAGAAGAAGAAGAAGAAGAAGAAGAGGATGAAGAAGAAGAAGAAGAAGAGAATGAGGATGAAGAAGAAGAGGATGAGGATGAAGAAGATGAGGATGAAGAAGAAGAAGAAGAGAATGAGGATGAAGAAGAGGATGAGGATGAGAAGAAAGAAGAAGAGGAAGAGGATGAGGATGAAAAGAAGAAGAAGAAGAAGAGGATGAGGATGAAGAAGAAGAAGAAGAAGAAGAAGAGGATGAGGATGAAGAAGAAGAAGAAGTAGGATGAAAATAAGAAGAATTCCAGTACAGCAAAAAGTGTATCTGCAGAGAGCTCCGCTATTTCTGACAGTTCTCTGACAGTTCCTTCACATTTACAGCGGTTGAAACATTGTATCTATTTGTTTCCGAATAAAAACATCTGTATCCTAAATGGAAACAAATAGATACAATGTTTCAACCGCTGTAAATGTGAAGGAACTGTCAGAGAACTGTCAGAAATAGCGGAGCTCTCTGCAGGGACACTTTTTGCCGGCTGTAGAAGGGATGAAAATCGGCCGATCGGGAAAAATTCGATTCGTGCATCCAAAGTTTGCTAATTTTCGGATTCGGTGCGAATCGAATTTTTCCTAATATTCGAAACGAATTCCACTTGGCCAAGTTCGATTCGCTCATCTCTATCCAGCATGTTAAGCTCTGGCCAGTGGTCCATGGGGTCTTTGCTTTTAAGTGTTTCAGTGTCAACCCTGTAGTTCATAAAGTCATTGACCATCAGGTTCAGGTGCAGCTTGTGACAGGTATCTGTGACCACTACAGTCTAAATGGTACAGAAGCTTTGCTTCATTGGTGTTACATGGCTTGCTTATGGCAATCACAAGACTCATGATGTTCCCATGACTCATGATGTTCCCATGGCTGACTCATATGGTTAGTTCATGACAGTTACATGGCTGACTCATTTCAGTCACTTGGCTGGCTCATTGCAGTGTTATGATTGGCTCATGATTGTTACATATGTAGCACTACCCCCTTAGGAGTCTAGAGTTTTAGGTCCCCCTATAGTCCTGCACAGCCAGACAACATGTATTTTCCATTCAGACTTGCATCCAGGAGACAGTAACCAGTCCTCGAGCTTGGTTTTTGGATTTTATTAGGGGAATTCAAAGTTGGATAGGGTAGGGGGTGTATGGGATGCCCAAAGGAATGACAACAGAGAACAAACTTCCTGGAACTACATACAAGTCTCTTTAACAGCAGAAATACTCTTCTGGAGAGCTAGCGAGCATCTCCTGTTGTACCCCCCAGACCATAGATACTCCTCTATCCAGCTGTTCTGGGTGAATCCCTGGGAAGGGGATCCAGGGCCTGTCACTTTAAGGAAGACAGCCCTGGGTAGCAGCTAATCTAATTTCCCACCAGAGTGCTCCTTCCCCTTACTGGCCCAGGGGGTACAGGTCTACTCACTCAGTCCTCCTCCTATAAGCTGCTGGGTTGGTTGCTGCTCTAAGGCCTTCTGCTGGGCTGCTCCTTCCCTGCTGCATAATTGGTCCTCACTCTGGTGGCAATGATTGCATTTTCCTCCTTTCCATCTCCTTTGCTTGTAGGTAGGCCCCTTCCCATCTGGCCCCCCTCTCAGGCTCCTGCTCTCCAGCCTCTCACTTCTCTATCTTCCATCTGAACTCTCCTGCTGCTGAGCAGGCTCAGTAACACTTAAGGGCTGTTCTGGCCCCATGACAAGTCTCCTGTTGGGGATTGTCAAGGATCCCTTGAGAGTGCAGACCAGGTACTCCTCCCTCCCACTACCTAGAATCTTCTCCAAAATTCTAGAGCAGGGGGAAGTTCCAGAGAGCTGGTCTGCTAGCCTCTCAGCTGTGATCTAAATTTTACCTCCATCTGACTATCTCCACAGGTTGCTGCTCAGCCTTTAGCTAACAATTTGACTCTAGCTCCCCCTAGCTATCCAGCACAGTGCTACACATAGATGGCTTATGGCAGGCACATGGTTGACTAATGGCAATCACAATACTGGCTCATGCATTGAGTGCAATACACTGCACTAGGAAAATCACAGGCCTTTCATGAGCCAGCCATATTATTTCCATGAGCCAGCCATATGAATAATGTAGGCCGGCCTCATAAACTGCCATGAGCCAGCCATGTGACTGTCATGAGCCAGTGCTACGATTGTCAGGAATGGCTATACTATAAGGTCTGAGGCACGGGCCAGGCAAGACATGTGTGTCATCTTTCCCTACTGGAGGGCAGTTTGCAAGTTTGTGAAATTATCAAACATGACCTTGCCAAGGTACAGATAGCATGGGGCAAGCTACTTTTTGGCCCAGGCCTCGAGGGATTCCAACAGTTTTTAGCTTGGTCTGGCACCTGTAACCCAGACATACAAGCCAAAAGCACTACATGGCAGCATTTTGTTTATGACATTGCATAGGTCTGGGGCAATGGGACATTGAGGTATCCTCGATGAAGGACTAATAGGATAAGGAAAATGAAGAGGATGAGGTAAGGTGACTGAGCTAGCAGCATCTTTCACAAATGAAGGCTGAACCACAAAGTCCAGTTGCTTGCTGCATGCTTCCCAGGTGCCCTGACATTCACTCAGTGCAGTAAATTATATATTCCAGTCATTTCCATGTCTACTAGACTAGGTGTCAGTGGTCATGGCCATGGTCAAGGATGCTCATTTTCTGGGAGTAGACCGTTCAAAATGGAGATATGTCCATGTAAAGAATACTCTACATGTGTTTGTGTTTACCAAGTACAATATTTTTGGGTTGCTTCTTTTTATAATCTTTCATTGTATAGTTCAGGGGTCTCCACATTTTTCTTAACAAAGGAACAGTTTGCTGTCCTCAGACTTTTGGAGGGCAAGACTGTGGCCTATGGGAATAGAACATGCCCCAATATCAGTGAAAGTAGACAATGGGGTTGATTTATTGAACTTGAAGTTTGCAAATTCTGGCGCAGCTGTGCATGGCAACCAACCAGCTTATAACTTCAGGTTGTTCAATTGACAAAAAAAACTGGAAGCTGATTGGCTTCTATGCAGACCTGCACCAGATTTTGCTCTCTCCAGTTTTAGTAACTTAATGCCAATGTGTCAGTCTTGGTAATAGTGCGGTAAAAATTACATAGTGCCTGTGGTCAATAGAAGGAGTTATCATGCCCCATTGTTGGTGCTAGTGGGGGGAATGATGCTTGATCCAGCCTTTATTGGCTCAAATACAGCAACAAGGGGCATTGAACCCTACTGATGTCAATCAAAGCCAATGATGAAAGAGTGGGGGATGGGCTTTCACCCTGTCTTGTATGTCTTAAGGACACATATGTAGGAAGGCCCTACATTCATTTTTTTCATGATGATCAAGCTCATGAGAAGGTAATAGAACCACTAGTTTACTACTACTAAGTTTGGTTATCTTGTTTCAGTACATGACCAGTGCATATGTTATTCTCTTTATGTTTCCATTACTATGATCCTTCTTTGGTTTCCATTATAGGAAGTCATTCCGTTTATTGTGGTGTTTACCAAAGAATATTTTTGAAGAATGATCCCCTATCCAGATACCATGTGGAACCATATGGAATTCTATGATCATGTAGTTAGGAAACTTCATTGACTTATGTGGACTCCTGCTTGCCGATAAATAACCAGATTTGAAGACGTCGAATGTTTTTTAATTTTGTAATTTTATTATGATTTGTTCACCGTGTCTATGTCCAACCTCTTTATGATCCATGTGATCAAATAAAATATTTTTGTAGCTATTTTATGCAGTTATATTACTCCGCATGGATTTTCAATTAACCACTTTTTGCGGGCAGTGCTGCTCTTGTCATACTGCCATATTTTCTATTATGGTGAGTATTTTGCAGATCTCATTTTTTCTTACAAGGTTTTGAAATATAAAAAAAGAAAAGTTAAAAAATATGTTTTTGTTTTCTTTCTTCATTTTCCAAAAACTTGTGGCAACAAACGAGATCTGCAAAATACTCACCATGCTTCTTATAAAATTCCTTGGGGTGTCTACTTTCCAAAAAGGGGTAATTTGGGGGGTTTGGTGCTATCCTGGCATTTCAGGGCCTCTGAAACTGTGATAGGTAGTCAGGAAGTGTAATGAAGAAATAAAGCCCTTTAACCGCCTCCCGCCCGCCATATAGTACAATGACGGGCGCAAGGTGGTTCTCTCGTTCTGAGAGGATGTCATATGACGTCCTCCCATTCTCATCGTGCAGCGATCGGTGGTGCGCTGTGTCCCTCAGACACAGCAGATCACCGATCCATGGAAAGAGCTGAAGATGACAGCTCGGTCATGTGATCAGCTGTGTCCAATCACAGCTGATCACATGTAAAACAGGGAAATGCTGGTTATCAGCATTTCTCTCCTCACGAGCTGTCACGCTGACACGCTCGAGAGGAGAGGAGAGCCGGTAATCGGCATTCCTCGGAGGGGACATGTACAGTGATCATCAGAGCACTGATGATCAGTGTGCCCTGATGATCAGTTTAGCCCCAGCAGTGCCACCTGTCAGTGTCCAGTAGTGCCATGTGTCAGTGCTCATCCATGCCACCTGCCAGTGCCCATCAGTGCCACATCAGTGCTACATTTCAGTGCCTACCAGTGCACATCAATGCCACATATCAGTGCCCATCTGAGCTGCCTTTCAGTGTCACCCATCAGTACCAGTCAGTACCACCTATCAATTCCAGTCAGTGCCACCTACCAGTGCTGCCAATCGGTGCCACCTATCAGTGCCAGTCAGTGCCACCTATCAGTGCCGCCTATCAGTGTGCATCAGTGCTGCCTATCAGTGCCCGTCAGTGCTGCCTATCAGTGCCACCTAAAAGTGCCAGTCAGTGCCACCTATCAGTACTAGTCAGTGCCACCTATCAGTGCCATATATGAGTGCTGCCTTTCAGTGCCCATCAGTGATGCCTGTCAAAGCCCATCAGTGCCATCTACCAGTGCATCCTCATCAGTGCCACCTATCAGTGTCCATCAGTGCAATCTATCAGTGCCCATCACTACAGCCTCATTAGCACACATCAGTGAAGGAGAAAAATCACTTATTTACAAAATTTGTATAACAAAAAACGAAGAAAAAAACTTTTTTTTTTCAAAATTTTCAGTGGTTTTTGGTTTGTTTAAGAAAAAATAAAAAACCCAGAGGTGATTAAATACCACCAAAAAAAGCACTATCTGTCACAAAAAAATGATAAAAATTTCATATGGGTACAGTGTTGCCTGACCACGCAATTGTCATTCAAAGTGTGACAGCGCTGAAAGCTGGAAATTGGCCTGGACAGGAAGGGGGTATAAGTGTCCTTTAGGCTAGTGGTTAAAGGCTTGAAGGTGTTTACTGGATTTTGGGGTCCTGTGCTTGGCTAGACTGCCAAAGAGTCTCTCACATGTGGTACCCCCATACTCAGGAGAAGTAGCAGAATGTATTTTGGGGAGTAATTCCACATATACCCATGGTATGTGTGAGCAAATCATTTAAGTTACAATTTTGTGTAAAAAAAAATAAATTCTTCTATTGACTCAACATGCCTCTCAGCAAATAGTTTTGGGGTGTCTACTCTCCAAAAAGCGGTGGGGGCATTTTATGCCCAGCATTAGAAGTTTATGCCACACATCATTCAATGTTCTAACCACCTGAAGACCAAGCCTTTTCTGACACTTTTTGTTCACATGAAAAAAATCTGTATTTTTTGCTAGGATATTACTTTGAAGCAGACACCCTAGTGAATAAAAATGATAGGTGCTGCAATTGTTTATGTCACATAGTACTCGTTCAGCAATTTTTAAAACACAATTTGTAAAAAAATATATATATTTTTACGTTTAATGCACAAAAACACAATATATTAGTTAATTATTTGGTAAAATATAAAAGATGATGGTATGCAGAGTAAATAGATACCAAACATGACATGCTTTAAAACTGCACATGCCACGTGCAATGGCGACAAACTGCATACATTTTTAAAATCCATAGGCAATGCTTTAAAAGCTACCATTTTAGATTTACAGAGGAGGTATAGTGCTAGAATTATAGCCCTTGATCTGACATTCATGGCGATACCTCAAATGCATGGTGCAAGCGCTGTTTACATAACAGCACAGGGTCCTCCCTCACGCGTGCGCGGGGGGGCTTTTTTTAAGTTATTTAGATTTTTTTATTATTTTTACACTGTCCCTTTCATTTTTTTTATCACTTTTAATGCTATCACAGGGAATGCAAATATCCCCTATAACTTCAATGGGCATTGTTATATATTCTTTTTTAAGAAATCTGGGGTTTATCAGACTCTAGATATCTCCTCTGCCCTTACATTATCTAATCTCACCAAGATCAGTGTGATCAGATGCTTTCCCAATTTAAAAATGGTGCTGTTTATATCCAGATGACAACAGGATACAGCAGAATGAATGGTTTCCAGTATTATGCGGTCAAAAGATGATAATTTCTGTAGCGTACTATGCAGAATATATGTGTCCCTGTTACATGTGGTCTGTTAGCTGCCTCCATGACACAGGAAGTGCTGAACTCAAGAAGAAGGGAGGAGCTTCATATACAAAGGAATTGTGTCATAGATCTCAGGGAGGCAACATGAAAAACAAATGCATTACCAAATAAGGCACTGGATGGCAGCATATAACTAACTATAGAAATGTCCATAGAAAATGGTACAAAAAATAAACTATATGAATTCTCACGTACATTTACATAAATATTAACTGTGTAACAGCATAATAGATATGATGGAGAAGAGTGTGGATCTAATCCTAGTAGGGCTTAATCAAGGGGCATTGCCAGTACTTATGGTAGCGAGAACCCTTCTTCTTTTTACAATGCCAGCATCAATCGATGATCGAGAGGTGAATGGAATGAAAACGTTCCGGAGTCTGGTACCACTGGTGCAGAATCTTGCAGATTTTCTTTGTGAAGAGTATAAAGCAAGTTCTTAGCCAACTGGGACCAGATGATTTGCCACTTTTCAAGGAGCAGTTCTAACTCCAGAAGCTTTTCCCATATATATATATATATATATATATATATATATATATATATATATACTTCCCTGTGGTCTCAAAGGAGTGGGTACTTAATAGTTTATAAATATCTGAAATCAGTTCCTTCCTGGAGGGTCCGCCACAGGTTGATCCTCTCAAAGGGTGATGGTTTGGAGAACTGTAGGTTAGGAGCGATAGTTTGTGCATAATGTCTAATTTTAAGTGATCCATACAGTGCACTACATATAAGGTCTGCAAAAGAGAGCAACTTTCTGGTCCTAGCATCCACGAGTTGCTTAAATTGAAATAAGGCTGTTAGGGAGCGAGGAGCCAGACACACAAGGAGGTGCAATTAAAGGTAGGTTTATTTACACAGAAACAAGGCAAGAGTCTATGCAAGTCTGACAGCAACATCGGATGACTTGGTAGGACAGAATTTCTCCTGCCGAGGTCGTCTTCCAGGATAATCAAGTCGAGAACCAGCGGGAATCGTAGCCAAAGCTGGGGTCAGAAGCCAGGAGGAATGGTCACCAGAGCCGAGTCGGTATCCAGGAGAGCAATGAGTTAACTTGCTGCTGTGCAACAGACAGGACACAAATGCAATGGACAACTACAAACAGCAGACTTAAATGTGATAAGCCGCCACCTCCTGGGAGGAGCCGCAGAGGGCTGAAAGCATAAAGGATCCCACAATGCTTTGCAGACACCTAAGATGGATGCCAGCACATGGAGCAGCACAAGCCTTGACAAAGGCCTGTTGACTCCAAGACATAGGAGAGGTTAAGCAGTCTGGAACTTTAGGGTTAAATAAAATGGCTTTCATCAGAGATGACTTTGAAGTCAGAGACTATTGGCAGTTTGTCCTCTTCCGGAGTCCAAGCACAAAAGACACTGTGTAAAGTAGCTTGTGGTGTTAAACAGCATCTTTTGTATTCCACAGTAAAGAATTGGGGTCAACAGGTGCCGTGCCAACCATAGCTTTTCCACCTCTGTCCAATGATTTTAGGTATGAAGTGTGGACCATGAGGAAACAGCCCAGTGTTGCCTGATAATATTAGATCAAATTTTGGAAAAGACAGGCCACCATCAGATCTGGAGGCTAGTAAGACCCATTTTACAACTCAATGTATTCAATGTTTTTTTCTACCGTGACAGAGACGTTCTGATGACTTGTAAGTTTTAGATCACCTGAACAATCAGATGATCAGTCTGCCTCCACTATGGATTCTACATCTACGGGTACCTCAAAGTCTTTAATAGGCTCAGTATTTACTAAGGATAAAAATATAGGATCAAAAATAATCAACAAAAACAAAAAAAATCCAAAACCAACTATCCCTAATGAAAAGATGCAGAAGAGGAGGACAAAGAAGATGCAGAGGGCAGATGCTACAAAAGATATCCACAGCGCAAGAGAATAATATATCAGGGGTGCATTTTACATCACATTTCTGATGGAATTGAGGATTGAAATTCTGCTGGAGATTAATGTGTACCTTCTGTTCAATCTGTTCTTTTCACAGATTTGTCAGCTGTTCTTAATTTAGAACAATTACATTCACTGTCAGGGATGGGTTCCTGTGAGGTTGACACACCCTTTCCAGTTAGAGGGGATAGCTATTGTTATCCCATACAAACTAGAAATAGCTAAGCTTTTTTTACAGGTTGTCATAGAGGCAGAATTGACATCCCTAATAAAAAAAACTGGATGGGGGATACAGGTCTCGCAAAAGTAACCTATCAAGGAGTGAAATACAGGCTTTGGAAAAGTTAAACCAGCAACATAACATTGCTGTGAAAGTGAATGACAAAGGAGGGTCTATAGTTGTGTTAAGCCTAAAAATAATATAAAGCAGAAGCTGTATGACAGCTACAGGATACCTCCACTTATCTGTTTTTTTCTGGTAACCCAGTTTATGAGTTTAAGTATTTTCCTAAAGAATTATGGGCAGAGCATTCGAATCATTAGTCAGAGGTTGAGGAACAATGATTTGTGAACAGTCCTGTGACCCCAATATTCCACCATCTGCCTAAAATACATAACAGTAAATATAAACCAAAAGGTAAATCTATGGTGGCCAGGATTGGTTCTTTATTAGAACCGCTCAGTGAGCAGGTGGACTATTCTCTCCAGCCTCTGGTTAGCTTACCAAGCTACATTAGAGATACAGAGATGGTTCTAGCCCACTTTAGAGATCTTACTTGTATACCTGGGTTACTTTGGACATATAAGTGTCCTTATACACGTCTATTCCACATGAGTTAGCTGTTTTGGCATTAAGGAACATCTCCTTAAATACAGTCTATATGATGAGAAATATTTAAGTTTTCATTTTTCATTTGGACAGTAGTAGAATTTGTGTCACATAATTTTTTTTTATTTTTATGGTTTGTACTTTTTGCAAATATGTGGTGCATCTATGGGTGCAAAATGTTCTCCTTCATGGGTAATCTGTATATGGGGACATGGAAAGGTTTTTGCTTCTCTGAATGCAATCCCTTCCAGAGAAACGCCCTATGGTACAGCCACTATATCAATGACTTGTTTTTGATCTGATGTGGCATCCTGAATGACACTTCCCATTTTGTGGATTTGGCAAATAACAACAATTTCAGCTTGCGATACATTTGTGAACACAATAAAGATAATATCAAGTTTTTGGAGTTGCCCTGGATAGAAATAGTATTTCTGCCTGTATATGAACTAAAACATTTTGTAAGGAAACCTTAGGTAACTCCACTTTACAAGCAAGCAGTTGCCATCCACACCATATGCTAACAGCTATCCTGGTAGGGGAATTTTCAGAAGTTAATAGCTTGAGGTGATTGTAGCCGTATTAGTGCATTTGCGACAGAAACAATTGAGTACTGTCCGTGATACTTTTTTTATTTGCACTAACATACAATTTTGAGGA